GTGTGTGTGTGTGTGTGTGTGTGTGGAGACCGTGGAGGAGGTGGGAGAGGGCAGAGGGATGGGAAGAGAGATGGTGGAGGGTACAGAGCTGGGGGATGTAGGAGAGCTAGTGAGAGGTCAACACTGAGACACTGAGTGGAGATCTGATTGAGACAAAGAACGTGAGGTTCAGAGCGGCTTTCTTCGGGCAGGGAAAGAGCTCTGGGAGGGAAGGGAGGGGAGAGCAGAGAGAGGGACAGGCATCTTGAGCTCCTGGGCGGTTCCGAGACCGGAGTTGGGTCAGGGCAGTCGCAGCTTGTCCGTGAGGCGGTGGGAGATATAAAGCGCTGGAGCTGGGAGGTGTACGCTGACAACAGGAAGGGAGATTTTTTGCTTGCAGCTGCAGGACCTTGAGTCAGGCTGCGTTCCGTGGGAAGTGCCTTTGTGTTTGCCACCCTCCTCCCTGGAGTGCCGGGCAGGGCTGCACAGCCTTGGTCTGGGGAGAGAAGCTCCTTGGAAGGCTGGGGCAGGAGATGCCACACGTCAGTAGTCATTCGTCCTCCCGAGAGGCTGGACACGGGGCCTTGCAGTTCTATCCTCCTGAGGAGCCGGAGAGGAGAGGGGGGCTGCCTGGCCTGGACCGGCCCAAACAGCTAGGAGGTGGGGGCAGTGGGAGAGGACTGAGCCCTGGGGTGGACCAAGGTGAGGCCTAGCCTATGTCTGAGAAGCCAAGGGTCACAGGTGTCCCTTGCCTCCAGGGAGGGGGCAGGCTCAGCTGGAGGCGGTGGAGGAGGAGGAGAACACAGGCGTGGAGGGCTACAAGGACGAGGACTATGACGATGATGAGGAGGAGGATGAAGAAGAGGAGACCAACCTGGCCCCTGGCGATACCGGAGGCAGAGGTGATGCCCAGCCCCATCAAGAGCTAGCGCCCAAGGGCCCCTTCCCCTCCCGGGGGCTTGGAGAGCGTTGACACCAGACAGCCCCCACCCCATCCCCCCTCCCGCCAGCCAAGCAGAGGTCCTGGGGAAGGGGCTGCGCTCCAAGAACAGTGCGATGACCTGTAGGCAGCAGAGGATGGGTGCCGGGAGTCCACGCGTTGGGGGTACACCGCCACCCCGCCCCAACCACCAACCCCGCCCCCTCCCCCCGCGCTCTGGCTGGGGGCTTGGATTGGCTCCCACAGGCAGTGGAGGAATGGGGAGGGTGGAGCTGATGAGCGCATGTCCCCCCTGCCCCTCCCCAGACAGCTACCCCTAGAGTGCTCCTTGGCCCCCTCTAGATAAACCCAGGCCCTTCTGCCGCCTGGACCCAGGCCCTGGACCCCGCTGGAGGAGAGAGGAGGCAGAGGAGCCGCGGGGCTCAAAGGGGAGGCTGAGGAAGGCCAGGCTGGAGCTAGAGCAGTGGGCCCCACGCCCTGAGCCCATCGCCCACCCCCAGCCCAGTTACAGTGCTACTCCTGTGAGACCCTGTACCCCGGCGAGAGCTGCGACCAGCTGCAGAACTGCGCTCCCAGCCAGCCCTTCTGCAAGACCATGGTCTCTCACAGCGAAACCGGTGAGTGGGAGCCTCGAGGGGGCGGAGGGGGGCCCCCCCCACAAGGCAGAGCCCCGCCCCTGCCAGCCTTAGCCCTCCTCCAACAACCAACACCCCCACTCAGTTTCCGGGTACCTGACTACCTTCTCCACGTGGTGCACGGACGCCTGTGAGCCTTTCACCAGGACCGTGGAGGGGACGCGGCTGACCGTGTTCTGCTGCCAGGCCAGTCTGTGCAACCAGCCGCCCTGGCAGAGTCCTGGAGCACAGGCACCGCCGGGCAGCGTGGCCCGTGGCCCCCCAGGCCCAGCCCGGGGCAGCCTGCCAGGGAGCAGGGCTGTGGGCTCAGGAGGCAGCCCCCTAGCTGTGGGCGCAGCCCTCTTGCTCAGCCTTCTGGCCCCCTGGCCTGCCTTGGAACTCTGAAAGCAAAACCGTGCCCCATCCCCCACCCCTCAACCC